AGACAGAACGACAGACAGACAGACAGACAGAACGACAGACCGATAGAACGACGGACAGACAGACCGACAGACAGAAAGACAGACAGACAGACAGAACGACAGACAGACAGACAGACCGATTATAGATAGATAGAACAACAGAACGACAGACAGACCGATTATAGATAGATAGAACGACAGAACGACAGACAGACCGATTATAGATTGATAGAACTACAGAACGACAGACAGACCGATTATAGATAGATAGAACAACAGAACGACAGACAGACTGATTATAGATAGATAGAACAACAGACAGACAGAACGACAGACAGACAGACAGACAGAACGACAGACAGACAGACCGATTATAGATAGATAGAATGACAGAATGACAGACAGACCGATTATAGATAGATAGAACGTCAGAACGACAGACAGACCGATTATAGATAGATAGAACGACAGAACGACAGACAGACCGATTATAGATAGATAGAACAACAGAACGACAGACAGACTGATTATAGATAGATAGAACAACAGACAGACAGAACGACAGACAGACAGACCGATTATAGATAGATAGAATGACAGAATGACAGACAGACCGATTATAGATAGATAGAACGACAGAATGACAGACAGACCGATTATAGATAGAACGTCAGAACGACAGACAGACCGATTATAGATAGATAGAACGACAGAACGACAGACAGACCGATTATAGATAGATAGAACAACAGAATGACAGACAGACCGATTATAGATAGATAGAACGACAGAATGACAGACAGACCGATTAGTGTGAGTGTGTGTGTGTGTGTGTGTGTGTGTGTGTGTGTGTGTGTGTGTGTGTGTGTGTGTGTTGAGAGCCGTGTGTATTTTCAGATCATGCTAACAGTCCATCTGCACTAACGATGCCATAAATATGATCAGACAGCTCAGCATTATTAAACTGTGATCAATGCGCGCGTCCTCAGAGACATCTGTCTGCACAGCTGAAGCTCAAACACCACTGACGTGTGATTATGTCAGACTGACAGGATCTATTCCATCTGACACAT